TTTTAAGTATGCCCATTCAATTCCAAGTACAAGTTCAAGGTAGCTTTGTAGTTTAGGCAATTTTTTTGTTCGCGCGCTTTCTTCCATACAAAGTATGCCAGATTGTAATGCCAAATGTGCGCAACTACGGTATGATGGTAATTATCTACTAGGTTGCGCAAGCTAGAACTTTTTTCTAGTGCAGTTAAGAAATAAAAAATACTTATGCTTTGTATTTTGATTTTTACGAATGCTTCCCCTGTTCGAAAATTATATAGAAAGTGAGCGACACCTTCCACAAAAAAAAATCCAAAAATCAACGGTAAGTCCTAGCTGCTTAAAATTTGCATTTTGAATTGAACGGGCTACAAAACTTAACACTCGGAATGTTTCTAAGAAATCTAATAAAAAAGCTTAAAATTTTGATGAAACTTTGTCGAATTTAGCTAATTTTTGTACAACGTTTGAAATTTTGACTCGCATGGTGTTTGTACTATATATTTTTTTTTAATTTCACTAAATTCATGAAAAAAAAACAAAACTTAACAAATAATTATAAAAACCTTAAAAATAACTCAATACCAGTACCAATTTGACAAAATAAAACATAACCAAAGATCATAGATAATAAGGGTGCTGCCTATGTTTACGTCTCCCTTATGTCCTACGTTCTTTGCGATAACGAAAGTGCTACCACGTTTGTAAGAAAAATTGTTTTTGAGACAGAGTACAGGGAGACTCTTTTTGAGTTAAAACGAAAACACTTATACTTCCGGACTTTTAAAACATATTCAGCGGGACAATTTTTTCATAATCGGTACTGTTCCGCCAAAATTGATACGAATGATCACGGTAGCCATCCGCAAAATAATGTGCAACGCATAACTCAACTTTAGCAGACGACTTATGTTGTGTTGTCCGCCACTACAGGACAGCTGTTTCTACTCTTCCATATATTTTGCAAGCTCTTCTTAGCGGCGATAATACATATGTACCAGACCAGAGGATATAAAACTTTCTACACACAATTCTAAGGTTTCATATTATGTAATTTTTATTGTTGACTACAAAGCACTATTTCATATTTATATGTAATATGGAATTACACTGATGTGCACTTCATTTTTAAATGTATTTCAAAGAGGGTCAACACTGCCTCCTGTTGGTTTGAAAACGAGCTTAATATCTGTAGAAATATGTAGTGCTTTAAAAATAATGAAAATGCTGTAAAAATATGCCGAAAAGTATTTGAAGTATACGAAAAGAGTTCTGTGAGTGAATGCCAGACCCAGGAGTGGTTTCCTCGATTCCGTCACTCTTTGGAAAAATCGATGAATTACGATTAAATAAGAGAAATTAACCCTTTCCGGTCAAATCCGTCCCTGACGAATATAAAATTTTTTCCTCTTAATCACAAGGTTCATAGAGCCGCATAATACAAAAAGTAAAGAAAATATATTCAAAAGTTGTTTTGGGTAGCTATTAGGGCTACCTCAAATTTGTGTCTTTAGTTGCAAAGGGCAAGGAAAAAGCCTTTACCCCTGATAATATGAAGGTTTCCAACGTTCCATATTTAAATTGGGCGCCACTTATATCAACTCACGTCGAGCGCACGTTATTACATTTAAGGGGTTTCTTCGCGAAAATCGAATAAAAATGCTGCAAAAAAACTTCAAAATACATCTTGTGGTTCAATGTTATACTACAACGCATGCAGAAAGCGCAGTTTTTTTTATCAATCCCAAAGCTGTGCTTCATGTGGTATGAGCAACTTTAGTGAAGAAATGAATTCAGTTTAGCATGGCCATGATAGTCGTATAAACAAGCTTATTGTATTTATGTTAGCATTCAAATTAGCCCAGTTTAAATCTGGCAATTAACCGAATTTTTTATCAAAGCCATGCAAACACTTTCACTTTTTTCAACCAAAATTAACCAAAAGTGCCTTAGATCATTTGCGCATTAGCTACACGACTTTTTTTTTTTTAATAAAACAGCCTATGAAGAGAGGATGAGGAATGATGAAAAATCAAAAAAAAAATATTGTATGCAAAAAAGTGCCAAACGCCGTCAACAAAAAAAAAAATATATATATATAAAAAATCAATGCGGTTTTTTAGCCGGTCGAAACTTGCATTTGTTTTACAAATATTTTATAAGCCTGTTAACAGCATACTCAAAAATTGTTTAAAAATTCTGGTTAAGAAGCTCGAAATTTCAAAAAAAGGTGTGGTATTTTTCTAAGTTATGTATAAAGTTTAAAAGTGTGGTTTATATAGTTTTTGTTAAAGCACGAACCATATGTTTATAAAAAAATATTGAAAAAACTTTAGATAAAAAATATGATAAATATTAAAAACGAAATACCATTCATCCATTTTGGATCGCCACTGTATATGTAGATACATTAGGGTGATCCCTGGTGATATGGAGAAAAATAAAAGTGCATAGATTCTCGGTTTCACCCCCTAGAAATGTGTGAATAGCCTTAAGACTGAGGTATGCAATCGAAAGAGATTTAGAGATGGCTCAAAGCGCTCAAAGTTTCCCATCTATTTCATATGGCGAAAAAACTATTTTTCGTAGAAATGGTAAAAAAAAACAATATTTTTCAATCCGTAAACCCTTTTTCTCTTTTGGTTCTTCTTCATTCATAATTAAAAAAAAATCATATGGCTAATGCATATATGTATGTTTATTCATGAGAGTGGAAATTGAATTTCAGCAACTGCAACTTTTGTTGTATTGCGGAACTTCTGTCTGTCTGACCTCAATACCAAGCAACCTAATCTCGTTTCATTGTGCTCATAAGGCAAACTAAATGTTGATAAAATGTTTATGTTTACGACGATGATGCTGTATAAGTAACATATTTGGGTTTTCCTTACATGCCTACTATCCTGCTCTATTTGTATTTAACTTGCACTTGCTTGCCATACCATGCTTTCCACTTTCGCCAACCACTTAGTCTACGCGCCGATGTGCGTCCATAAGTAGAGCAAAAAAACAACTGCCAAGCTATAAGTTTTATTTGTGCTCACATACATTTGCATATTCATTCACATACATACATATTTGTTATTTAAGTTGTGGCTGTTGCACAAATGTGGCATAAAATGCAACATTCTACCTCCAACTTGCTGCTTATTCACTTCTGCACTTAATGTTTACATTCATCTGTGAAGGTTGCACTTTTGCACATTTCTACTTCGCGCTATTCACTTTATTTTTTTTTTCATGTTATTATTTGCCATATTGTCACTCGCTTTGTTGACTGCACTTTTCAGCTGCAGGCAGAACTTTTTCAAAACATGGAAAGACAATACGCATGTATATATATAAATACGTTACACCTGATATAAAATTCTTTCTGTCTTTTTTTTTGATGGGTAACTTTTTATTGTTCCTACTCGCTGCTGCAAGTATTGTCCGTTTGTTTTCCTAGCTGCATTTTTTTTTTTAGGGGGAAGCATAAATAAATATATGAACATATGTATGTATGTATTAACTTTGAGTTGGTTTCGCGCTTGCTTTTTATCATTTTATTTATTTCATATTTTTTCCATTTTAATTTTTTATTTATTGAACTTTTTCGATGTTTATACTTTTTCATTTTTACTTAACTTTTCTCATATTTGCCTTATATATTCTTTTTGTCCTTATTCTCTACTTTTTTGCTGTTGTTGGTTGCTGCACTTTCTCAACTTAGCTGCCTGTTTCTAACGTCAAACTGGAGGGACGCTCCGTATGCTCTGTACTTAGAAACTTTTCCGTATTCCTGGCATATTTCTCTACCTCTTTAGTTACTTTACAATTCCATTCAGCTGCAATTCAGAAGCAATACGAGTGTGTGATTGAAATATAAGTACTCTAATAGGTACAGTGTTAAAGCGTGCAAAGTAAATGGGTCTTAAATCTTCTCAATGTTCTTCAGTCCCAATAGGGACGAGGAGTTCTTTTTATGGCAAACCATTCAAGATCAGGAAGATATACCCTTTAAAAAGTAAATTTCAAGGCCTTCTTTGCAGAAAACTGCCGTCTGCATTGGGTTAAGTGTGGCCTATCCCCTTCTATGACCTTGTAACTACAATATTGGCTCGATGCGTCATGAATGCCAATAAAATTCCTTATAAGGAAACTGAATAGCACACATGAGCGTTTGGCTAAATTAGTCTTGTTTTGTGAATATTTTTCAAATGAAGTCATTGATACAAGTACCTAGCGTGTTTTCTTGCTTGAAAGGATGTGGTCTAATCTTTCCGTACCTACGATCCCATAGTGGTAATATCGTGTTCCTTGCTGCCAAGTGTTGGATGGTGTCCAAGCAAGTCCTTGACGAGCCTGATCGTTTTATTAGAAAGGACCCCTATGGCCACCTGGCTATCTGAAAAGATAACTAAAAACGCGCCTTTTTAACCCTTCTCTAGGTTCAGTTTGTCACAAATTGAGATTTCTAGTACCTCGGTCTAAAAGATCATAAACTAAGAAACCATTGCAGTAGAAGGGTTTGGCGCCAAGTCCAAAGACACCCGCAACTTCTCTGCCATCCATCTTTGATCCGTATGTGTACCAGTGTACATATCTGGGATCTAGTTCTGGTAAACCATTTGACCAGACATCTCGGCCTAGAATTTTGACCTGAAATTTTCTTTCAAAGCAGATGTCCTTGCCTTACCAAAAACTCATTTTAATAATGAAGCTTTGCCCTTTTTTATATATTTAATTTCAAATTTTTGGACAGGTGAAAAGTCCCGTCAAAATTATTACTTCTGGATAACAGTGAATATAGATGCACTTTTATATAACTCCTTACTTTTTAGACAGATGGCAACTTTATTAATTTTTTTTACCGAAAGCTGTGAACTAAGTCCTCAAAATGGTGATGCAATCATTAAACTTCTTTCTGTAACACAAAAATACCTACTTAAAAAAATTTAAATTTAGATTAAAACAATTCAGTTTAAATACCATAACATTTATTGAAAAAAATTTCATAAACAATTTTATTCAACCTAAAATAACGTAATAAATATAATTTCTCTCCTCTCGCTCAATTTCGCATTGTTAAAGAGACCATCAACGAAACCAAATTCGCATTTCTCGCTTCCCATGGCACAGTCATATCATAGAAAAATCGCTGAATAAATGTCCACACATTCTCACACATAGTGGGATACTTCAAACCGCAGGTGTGATAAATCTTGTAACATAAATCGAGTGCTTGCAAAAATGATTGCATGCAATAGAAATGATTTTCCAATGCCACATAGATTTTCGAAATGGTGCATTCATTGGGCATAATGACCACCAAGAATGGCTGCGTGGTGCGATTCACTGGCCCATATTTGCGATTATATAAATCCAAGCGGGATTCATAGGACTCAAGCGAATTGAGACGCATTACAAAAGAATCGATACTGTCAGTCAGATTGGCGCGTATGCTCAGCTTGCCATAGTGATCCTTAAAGCGGCTCGTACAAGGCAGTAGAGCGGTCAGACCAACGGCGTAGACGAAGTCCTTTTCATCTGAAAAAGAGAGAAATTAAGAAGCTGATTGCAAGTTGTAGGTAGAAATAGATTTTCGTAGTTGTAAAGATTTGTTTTGTTTGATTTGTAGTGTTTGCTTTAAATTGTTTAAAATTTAAAATTAAATAGGATGTTTCGCCTTTCTTGGCGTTTTCCCGAGACATTTCAATCTTTTTTTGGATTTTTTCGAGGCAGTTCGTTTTTTCGGATTTTTTATTTAATTTTTTTTTATAAAATTTTTCTTTTTCGATACCTTCGTAAACCCATTAGAGGTTTTCCGAGACTGTGTCCGGATTTTGTCGGAATTTTTTGCTAACGTTCGCTGTTATTTTTTCTGATATTTCCAAGACATTCGGAAACTTGTGTGTCTTACTTTTCGCGATATTTCGAAAATGTTGAATTTTGTGTTAAACTTTGTGTATTTTCGTTTCTTTTTCGGGATTTTTTTTCGATATTTTTCGGTATTTCTTCTCGCGCTCTTGCGATTTTTCGAGAACCAAGGTCCAAATAATCCCTTAAAAATATTCTAGCGGCTTAATACAATAGTAATCCCGAATTAGTACCTAAAATCCCGAATTAGTTACAAATTCCGAATGACTCTCGATAATCCCCAAAAAATCCCTAAACCCCGAATAAGCTCCGAGAATCCTCCGACAATCCCATAAAAAATGCTATCCGCTGTATGCAATAGTAAGCCCGAGTTAGTAATCAAAATCCGGAGTTAGTTATAAATTCCGACTGGCTTCCTATATTCCCCAAACATTCCCTAAAACCTCGAAGAAGTCGAAAATCGCAAATTAGGTGCGATAATCCCGAATTGGTTCGAAAATACTTAATTAGGCCTGAAACAGGGCAAAGTACCGAAAAATCCTATGAAATCTCATCAAAAAATGAATGACTCCCGTTAATCGCTAAATAGTCCATAAAACCTTGAATAAGCCCCTAGAATCCTAAATTAGTTCAGACAACCCCGAATTAATCTCAACGAGTCTGAAACCTCAAAAGTCCCGAAAAATCTCGGAAAGCTATTGAACACTGCTAGAGGCTGCATACAATAGTAATCCCGAACTAGTATTTAAAATCCCGAATTACTCCCGATAATCCCAAAATAGTACCTAAAATCTCGAATTAGTCCGGAAAATCCGAAAAATCCCGGACAACCCTTGAAACATGTTAGACGCTCACGAAAAATTTCTATAATAGCGAAATCACTCCGGGAATAGACAGAATATGTAGTATCGAAAAGGGCTCAAACCGTCCCATTGTCTACTCACCTTTGCTTGCCATGCCCATTTTACAATATTTGTAGAGTTTTTTTAAATCATCCTGATTGAGTTTCTTATCAAACTGCGACGTTACTTTCCTTATATACTCATCCCATTTGGCAATCAATAGGTTTTCCTTTTCCGGGTAAACATGACGAAAGTCGATCTTATACTGCAAAAAGAAAACATTTCAAATAATGCCTTAAACAAAATCACCTCCGTACATACCAACTCTGCTGCACGTGGATCACCCAACTTGGACCAATTGGTCAGCAGATCCGCCAAGCCGCTCTGCTGCAATTCCTTCTGCCGCAGTGCCCACGTTTGTATCCACTTATCGCAAACTTCCTCCCAACTAAAATGATCTGTGGTGAGTAGCTGCTTTAAAGCCAGCGCAGTCATCTCATCAACGCGTGGCACCTGACCCGGCAAGTCTGGTGGATACGTAGACATGGTGTCGTCATCATCCATTAGATTGCTGCTACTGCTCATTTGTTGCGTCATATCAACGTCATAGGTGCTGCAGTCCTCATCATCACTGAGGCGTATCATACGACGACGCTTGACATTCTCATTGGAGTAGCGTTGATAGAGGCGCCCCAGTGGGTTGCCCTTGCCGCCACGGTAGATAAAGTAGTAATCCTGCAGGCATAGCGGAAATGAGAGAAGTGAAACATTTCAGCATAAATTAGGTTTTTGCACACTCCACACAATAGCACATCACACAGCCACGGGTACTTACCGCTGCGGCCTGCTCATTGGGAAATAGCGTTATGATGTCACTCAAAATTGCACGCAGATCCTTTGGGCACAGCGTCTCCCCCTGACGCATCACATCGGCGACAATGAGGCGTACAATTTCATTGCGCTGATGATTCTCAAGGTAGCCATTTTTGTTGTAAAATTGGTTGATGCGTTGGCCGATATGTGAGCTCTGCAGCACCTTCACCGTGTCCTACAAGAACACATGTAAAATTAATGCAGTCACAAAAGCAGAATGCACAAATCAAAAAGCAAAGCACATGAAATACGAGTATCATCTCAAAGCCAGCTCGTCCCTTTCTATCCACCTACCACTTTGGCACAGTTCATAATCAATGGCCCCTTAGGTGAATAGCCCATTCCGCTGCTCCCACCATGCCCTAATTCCGCAACATTGTTGCTGCTGCTGTTGCCGCTCACATTTGCAACTCTGCTCCCACTTGCACTTGCATTACTACTACCCTCGCCGGCGACACCTCCAATCGTCAACATAAAATTCTGCTCGGCATTTATGGTTTTTGTCGAAGCTCTTGTCGCCATTGTCGCTGCGATTGCTGTCGTTGTTGGTGTTACGGTTGTTGTTGGCGTGTTTATCGTTGCCATTGAGTGTCGTTTTGGTGCTTTGGCCGATTGCGGCATAAAGCTGAATGCGCCGCGTGAATCTAATGTCGGCTCTAACACAACGGCAGGCATATTATTACTCATGCGCGCGGTTGTGCCACTTACGCCCGGCAGCATACTCAGGAAATCCTCAGCTGGTGCCATGTTGCGTTTGATAATGGTCGCCGATCCTGTTGTTGGTGTGGTTGTTATCCCCGCAGGGACGGAAGAACCGACAACATTGCTGGGTGTGACAGTTGGAGTTGCTATGGCATTGTTGGTGGTCGCATTGGCTGTGACTGTTTGCAAGCTATTCGGTGTAGCTTGTAGTTGTTGTAGTGATTGTACGGATATTGCGGGTGCTACAATTGAAGTGGGCGTTCTTTTGGTTGCTACATTTGTGGGCGCCACCAGCTGTTGGGCGGCTGTCAAAATCGGTTTATTGTTGTCTATTGTAGGAAACTGTTGGAGAGAGAAAAAAAACACAAGAAAATTTTTTCTTCGAATTCTGATAGCGTTAATTTCGGATTCACCTTTTCATTTCGCCAGGCGAAGAGTTTTTCTCGAAACTCGGCTCGATAGCCAAGGTGTCGTATGGCAGCATTTATGTCGTCAACGGTTAGATACTTTAAGCTGCGAAAAGTGATGTCGTTCACTACAAAAATGAACGGGAAAATGAGTTATTCTCAAAATATGTATATATTGTTGTATGTGGGTGCTGAACTTTATAGGATACCCGAGTATATTGATATAAATAAATTAAGCTTTTTGTAGATTACTGGGTATACAAAGGCGATTCTTCCACATTTTAACCACAGAAATGTAATAATAAATCTTTAATATTTACTTTAAAAATAAAGTTATATATATTATAAAGCTTTCTCTTTATCTTTCTTATCGAATCGGTAAAAACGAAGTTCCATAGATACGAATTTCACTTTGCAAATATTGCAACAGCACAGTTACGACGGGTATTGAAAAAATGGAGAAGACTCGACCATTTTAAACAATAGAAAATAAGAATTTTCTCGGAAAACGCCAACGGAAATGATTATGGCAATGGGTAATGTAATGGTAATGGTAATGGTTAAATTAATGGTTATGGTAATGGAAATGTGGTAGTGGTAATTTACATGCCAAATTTTCTGATAAAGGTATTGGTAATCATCGTAATTGTAATGGTATGGGCAGCAGTAATGATAATAGCAGTATCTAAGGTAATGGTAATGGCAATGGCAATGGCAATGGTAATGGTAATGGTTATATTAATGATAATGGTAATGGTAATGTTAATTTTAAAGGTAATGGTTATGGTAATGGCAATGACGATGCTAAAGGTAATTGTAATTTCAGCTGTGCGCATTTGTGAGCCAAACGAAAACCTGTAAATACTTATATTACGAGATACATATTAATGTACATACATACATATTTATAAATTAATTTGAGTGGTACTTAATATTTAAATTTCCAGTCTTTTCCTTAAACGTGAAAACCCACATTTCTTAAATATAGTTAACTATGTATATTTTCTTGGAAATGTTCGATTATTTTTTCACATAAAAACTGGGGGAAGTTCACGTATCTTGTCCTATAATTGCTCCAAATTTAAGGGGTTGTTCGCATAAATACACTACTGTAACAAAGTATTGGCACAGAAAATTGTTCCCAATATATGCAACAATTTTTATTCTAATAATCTTCCACCAATTTTGTATAAAAATATGGTTCATCCTACAACAAAAAAACATAAAAATTTTGCTCCTAAACTTTGTGTAAAACTCGCGCAAATTCATGAAATTTCCATGCAAATTTTCAACTTTTTAATCATATTTTTTTAGAATTTTGTTGAGTATGCAATTTCAGAGTTAGTCAAAATTCGCATTGATTTTTGAGAATTCTTTTTGTTGAAGGTGTTTTGCATTTTTTTCATGTAAAGTATTTTCGAAAAAAAATGTTGTGTGGAAGAGACTGCGGAAAAAAAAAAATGCCAAATATCAGCGGTAATTCCCAGCTACTTAGAACTTGTACTTTATCATAATTATCATCATAATAGATTGTGCTACCAATCTGCGTACTCAAGAAATTCTAATAAACCTGATTAAAAAGTTAAAAATTTGTATGAAAACTTGCTCAATTTTCGCGAGTTTTGCACAAAGTTTAGGAATTATATTTTTATGGTGTTTGTTGTAGAATGAACCATATTTTTAAAAAAAATTCTGGGGAAATATATTAGAATAAAAATGGTTGCATATATTGTGAAAAATTAGCTGTGCCAATACTTTGTTCCGGCAGTGTACTCTCTTTCGCATAACTCTGCATAACGACTTCTCACGTACTGAATTTCTCTCGTGCAATAGATTCGAAAAACCAGTTCTGCTCGAGAACAAAATGTAATGTCAACAACGTTCGCGCAAAAGCACCAATTGGGAACAAAATTATTGAGAGCAGTTTGATATGGAACGAAAAGAGAACTTAATTTTCGTTAACGTTTCCATAAAGAACAAAATGCGAACTAAAGATTTGAAAACTTACCATTTAAAATGAGGTTTGCGTCTGCATATTGGGATGAAAAATTATATCAGTGAGAACCCTGATGGACTTAGCGGACTTATCTAATGCAACAATAAGCGATATGAATAAGTTTATAAGCGGATCAAAGTGGTTTGTTTGAACTGCACAAATGCTTGACAGATAGGACAAAATGGTGCTACTATGCGCTAATTGAATCCTGAGGATAACTTGTGAGGCACTACAACCAATCAACCAACCCTGATGATTAATTTTAAGCCATAAGAAATCTGGATCATTTCAACTACCAGATCGTTTATCATTAGGGTGAATTGTCTATTTACAGAGCGATTTTTCATTTTCTATGCAAGAAAAGTTCGTGTCTTAAGTCTTTCGTTTACTTAATTTGCATCTTGCATCTTTCAGTTCTTTTTTATTAATTTTAATATTCAATAATTTCAAACTTATGCAGCGCTATGGGAAGAATGTTGCTCTCGCTTCCATTCTTTGCAACTATCTCAAAGATGATTTGTTCCCGTTTCGTTCTATGTAAGAACTTTAGTTCCTTAATTGAAAGAACCTTCGACTTTTGTTATTTGCCAAAAATTTCCGGAGACTTTTGTTCGCATTCTGTTCTCTTAACAATCTTCTTGAAAGTATTATTCGCATTTTGTTCACCTTGGAGTTTGTTCTTATATGCTTGCTGTTGAGAATATTCTCGATCGTACCTTTTGCTCTCGGTCCCTGATTTTAACAAATATAAAAATAGTCATTTAAACATCGAAGCAGTCACATGCCGAGAACTGGCATATCTGCGGTTTGTCCAGTGGTTTGGTGGTCTCATAACGATGTCTCTGATGCATCCATATGTATTTTATTGCACACTTTAACATCATTNGTACATATAAACGCGCTCTTTTTTAGTTTTTTAAGTAAAATTTTTTGCTGCTGTTTGGATTTTCGCTTTTCTGCATACATTTGTACATCCATATGCATATTTGCTTGTATGTACATTTGTATGAATAAATTCTTGGGATAGGCCTATGGAACAAAAACTTCAGTTATACAGAATATTAGATAGAAAAAAACTGCAAAAGGTAGATATTTTGGAAAACATAAATGAAAGTACATATCGTCACCTGAAATGCAAAAAGACTAACAACACCGTAAATGAAATGGAAAAAGTCGTGACTAATATTTTAAAATTTTTCATAAAATGATGTGGGGAGTTGTAATACGATGAAATCCATCATATAAATCAAAAAGTGAATTGTGAACTTTTTATTAGTTATGACTGTTTGTATTTCAACGGTGATGCTTGTTAACTTTTTTTTGCATTTCAGGTGACGATATGTACCCTGCAGGAAAAAATTATCAATTGGTCACTTGTAGTTAGGTTCTTTGTGGGATTTATATAATATATATAACTTGCAGTTAGCTACAAAAAGCTAACTTGAAACTAGTTGACAACTGCATTACTTGAGATTGTTTTCTTTAAACGCGTTTCTGTTTAAATACCCTGTACTTCGCAAATACTTTTTCGAATTGAGGAGAACTAAAAAGAAAATCGAAATTTCATATCATCATTTTGAAGTTAAGTCTGACGGAGTTCGAATATGGGACCACCTACAGCAGGATATGGAAACAAATATAACATGTAATAAAAATAAAAAATAAAAAAATGTATAAATATTTTGTTTTTTCCAAGAGATATTTTTGTCCAAAAGTAGTTAGTTACAACAAATGCAGAGGTAACCACCCTTGACTAATGCAGAGGTAACCACCCTTGACTATTTCGCGGTCATCGCCATACGAATATAGTTAGCTTTCGAAAAAAAAAAAAATATACAGATAATAGTGACCTTTAGCTCCTTCCTTATCAACTTAAAGTTAGCTTATAGTTAGATACATTTCCTGCAGAGTACACACGTATACTTATGTGAGTGAATGTATATGCAGATACAGTGAAACCTCCTACAACCGGACACTTAAGGTTCCACAGTTTTTGTCCGCCTACGGGGAGTGTCCGGTTATGGGACTTGAACCACAAAACTGAAAGTAAACTTTTACATTTTTTTACTTAAGGACTGCTTTTAATAGATATGAAGTTAACGTTTTATATCGATCTTAGGCTGGTACTAAGACTTTAAGCCTATGCTAACTAATGTAAATATGTATATATTCTTCTGAAAAAAAGAAAAAAAAATGGCAGACGATATGTTGAAAATCGAGCGGACTAGCTTCAACCTTATTGCTCAGGGTATTTTGTATTCGCTGATTGCAAAGACAAACTTGGAATTATAAAAGTTAAAATTTTGTATCCAATATGGCGGAAATATTTTCTTTTTAATTTGTTTTATTTATTTGAAATTTGTTTTGTGGTTGTTTTTGAGGTGACAAATGGTAAATTTAGTATCATGTTTTATAAATTCAGAAGGCCTGTTGAATGTCACTTCACATCAGTAAACTCCCATAAAATTCGCTCTTTAAATAAGCCGAAATTAATCCTTAACCTGATGGTTCCTTTTAGTAATTTATTTAACAATATTCAGTTCCACAAGGTCATTCTCTTCAGCTTCCGATTCAGTAGCAGAAGTTCAGCGGACTTATAAAAATATGTTTCGTTAAGTTTAAGTTTTGTTATTGCTGCTTGTGATAGTATTCAATTGTTTTGGTGTTGCGTGACATATTGGACAAGGTTGCATTGATTTTGTCTCAGTGATGGCGTAGAGCATTTTTCCATTGATTAATGTCATACATAATTACTGATATATGCATGTAATTCGCACGTTTTCAAGCACTTCCGTGTGTAATTGCAGATTCTTTATTTCATCCTCAAATCTTCAACTTTATCTGCTGAAATTTAGATATGTTCTCCTGCCGGTCTACAATTTTCCTTAGTATCCCTAACATCAGCATAAGTTAGCCAAATATCATTTTCTATGTTATAGCTGATTTTAAATTTCAGAGGTGTACGGCTCCTAGTCCAAATTTATTTATATTTACCTTATAGTAAGTAGTTGTGTTAGTATGGTATCCACACAAAATCAGCGTGGTGTGACCGATGCTCCTCCTGCTTTTACCTGTTCTTAAATTTCATAGTGATGAGTCCGTTTAAAACCAATTATGAACGACTTAAAGTCAAATGCCGCATATTTGCGTATAATAGTACTAAAATATATAGAATTAGAAATAAAATGACGAAAAAACCATTTCGATTGTAAGCTTATTCCAGGTATAATATGTAACTTAAGTCCTTGTGCCAGAGAGCTATGTTTTCAGATTTGAGTTGAGTTGTGTCCCACGATGCTAATTTACAACTTACAACTCAACTATCTTCCAAGCTGTGAATCATAATACGTGGGGCATTCATACATTATTCTTAATTTTTTTTTTAAACTACTTCTGTTTATCTGTACATCGTAAAAAAAAATGTGTGAATCAAATTCCATACTTGACTTTTGGCCACTTTTTACTGAACTTTGGCGATGTGTGCGTTGTCCGCAGATAAGGCTCTCGTGTCCATTTATGAGAGGTATTTTTTTATGTTTACTTTCCATTTTTGTTCAGTGATATTTTTTATTCGTCCATTTCTGAGACGTCCAATTCCTTATACAAGAGATGATGAGACCAGAAAAATCAAATACTTTTGGAGTGTCCGGTTTATGTAGGGCAAATTGTTCTAGTAACGCCACATGAAACTTGGCTCTAGGACTTCTATCCGATTGTGAGAGGTGTCCGCTCATTGCAGTTGTCCGCAATTAAAGGTTTCACTTTATATGTATATACATATGTAAACATGTAGCACCTATGCATAGGACTGCGTGCATTGCATCTACTCTTGTTGCTACTTGCATTTAAGTATAAATAAGTACATATACATATGTATATACAAATATATCTTCTATACATATGCATTAGGGTGATGGACTCGGCTTTTCGAAACCGGTTTCCACCGGTTTTTTCTGGAATGCGTAGGTTTTTTTTTTTTAACTTTATTTTTGTAATACCAAACAAACAGATTTTTTGATCGAACAAACTGTTTTTTTTTTCATTTCATACAAATCTTGACCCCTTAATAAAATTTTTGAGTTTTTCGAAGTTTTCGGAGCTTTTACAGTTTAGTGAAACCCCTAAATGGTTTTACATTTATATCCTAGGCTATTTGGGGATGGAACAGTATATCATATTTCAGTCAAATGAATGAATGTTTGGCGCTTAAGCGTTTTCAGCAGGTTCAGCCGAGCTTCTCTTCTAATTTGAATTTTGCTGCCTGATGTTGTGAAACAAATGGGGAGATCTACACCTTTACTGTACCTCATTAGACGCTTTTTATGGCAGAAGTATACTCGGAGGTATTCCCTTTTACATCATACCCTCAACCCCTGCTACTACAGTAGAAGATATCACAGGGGTCAAAGTTAAATTACCCTGTGAAGAAGTCTTAACCGACTCCAATCGAGACCAAAATTTATATGTGATATCTTCGACTTTGCGAGTATCGATTTTGGGTATTAAATGAAAAAAAAATTTGTATTTTTTGAGTCTCTATGGAGGAATGGCAAGTTTGACCTCTGTGCGACACGCCTTAACCAACTACAATCGGGACTAAAATTTATATGTGATATCTGTGACCGCGGTATTACCGATTGAGGGTTGAAACTGTAAAAAATTCGTTAATTTGATTTTAAAGACCACCCTATTGTAGATATACATATTAATTTATATTTCGGCTTCTTGTGGATAACTACTTGTGTATATGTGTGAAAATACTTACATACCCTTTCTTATGGCTTTACTAACTTAGTTACAGAAAACTTACACTTCAATGTTGTGAAAAGTATTTCCAAATCGAACTCTTTCAACAATTTCATTAAGCTCGTGTCATCGCTATCACCATCGACTTGCATTCCTTGAACGCCATATTGTGAACGCCCCGTTTCCAGCTGTGCAGCGCTGTGTTGCACGCCAATGTTGCAGCAGGATGGCTTTGTGTTATAAACACCGCTCTGCGAACTTTGTGAATTCTGTGTATCTCCATCACCCGTATAATTCGCAATGTAATCGAAATCGACTTCTGTTTTTACAACAATCTCGGGCGTGGTCATTTCACCCAAAAATGCCTTAATAGAATCTAAAACACTATTTCTGTGAAAAATCAATAAACCGTTGCCTGTGCAGAAAAAAAGCAAATCACTTCTATTTAACGGTAAAATACAGCATGTACCGCTCGAAAGCCAAAGTACGACTGACTCAGGCCAGTGTATCGATTGTCGTCGCTCTGCCGTTAATACATATGTACACACATACATACAGACAAATTCAAAATACCTACGCCCGTATACGTATACGAGCGCATTATATAAAATCGCTTCAATGTGTACGTATATATGGGAGGGTGTGTGTGTGTGTGAGTCTTCAACAACACCAAATCACCAGTAACAAAAACAACTACCCAGAAAAAACAACAATAAAAAAGCGCACAAATTCATTCCCCGCTGCCACTTCAGCTAGCCTCACTTGAGGCCAGCCAACTGAACTCAGTCCAAGTATAGCATAAAATAATTCCTCCTCCTGCCTGACTCTGCTACTCTAACTAAGGTTTCCTTCTCCTTGCCATTTTCATTGTAAACATATGTACATTCACACATAAATACGTTTGTATGAGCGATTATATACACGTAGCCAGCTATGTGCGCGCACTTATCCCTCGTATACTTTTTCCTATTCATACGAAGCTTAGTGCTACGCTTGCTGGCTGTTGCTGTGGCAAACACGTAGCCAGGGCACAAACAAACCGACAGAATTACTCGCAGGCACGTCATGTGAACGTGGCTGTGTGTGACCGTTGTTTTGTGTGTGTGTGTTGGTGGTGGCGGCTAGCAGCCTTTTGCACAGGCGCTACTCGCTCCTGCTACAGTACTCAATTTTGCTCTTCGTGCTTCGTTTTTGTTTGGGGGGAGCTGCGCAGCGAATGGCCCTGTGCGCATTAAACAGAAACAAAACAAACTCTTGGATGCCGGTTGTTTTGCATAGAGTTGCCAAGCAATTTGGCTGTGTTGACGTATTGTTGGAGGAGTGGGGGTGGTGAATATAGCTGAAAATGAACGTAGAAAACGGAACGAGCAAAATTGTTGTGAATTTTTGTTGGAGCTTTGTTGAGTATTTAGTAAGGTGGAAGTGGGTTTGTTTGCAAAACATGCAGATGTACATAAATACATATGTACATATTTTTGTACTTATGTATATCTATGAACGTAGTTAGGTAGCTAACAATTATTGCATTTTTATGGTGTTTTTGCATAGATTTTTTTAGTATTCTCATACAAACGCATATATTGGTTGCATGTATGTATGCTTGTACATATATACCCTCTGTCCATAAATATGAGCATACATATATAGATACATATATATTTACGCACACATTTTTATGTTTTTATGCCTTTTAAGAACATGAAATGGTATTTTAACTTTGGTCCGATGTTTGCAAATAAGTACCAGAATAAGAAATGATGGACCGGATCTGTGAATTATGACCGCGTGTATTAAGATCGCAATCGCAATCAAAAAATAGCATTATTCATTTGGTCAAGAGAAGTAAGGGCGGTTTTTATTCATTGTGAAAAGGGAAGTTAGGCCGCAATCAAAAAATTAATTGGGAAATGCACTGTTCGAACTTTAGAAAAAGTTGTTCTTGCTCTCCCTGACCCCTCTACAGACCCCTGAGAATCCATTGAAAAATGGGGTAGAATTAAGAGTTTGGCAGGGAAGATGTAAACTCGCCATCTACAATATTTTTGCGCAGAAAAACCTTTCCGCCACGATCCAGAAAATAAAGGTCGCGCCATTCGCAAACCGCTAACCCTCTCTTCGTCGATTGACAGCATTCACCCAATCGCTGACGTCATACAATACTTTTGTTTACATTCACTGTTGCCAACTTGATGCTTTTTGCACGAAGTTTAGTAGGTTTTCAAAACGCGAAAATAGTTTGGTGCTTCGTGCTTTTTTGGTGCTTTTGTTTTTAGTTTGACGACACCAAGTTCGAAAATCTTAAAAAATGGAAGCAAAATTTATAGCAATCGTAAGTGTGGTAAGCAACTTTACAAAAATTTTAACAAAACCATGACACAGTGACAATCGTAAGCAGAGGTGGGCACTACCACAAACAAGCGATCGCTAAAAGTGGGAATGTGACAATAAAATATGTGGCAGCACCTTCAATTATGCCAGAAAAAATCCCTGCCCAAAAACTACTCCAAACAGTGAGTCATTGTGAGCGCATATTTTTGCCTGCAGTGTGTGCAGTTTATTTTATTAACGTGTCCGTTCAGGTTAAAATGTGCTTAATCGCTCATGATGATTGTTTTTTTTTTTTTAACATCAGGAGCAGCGTTTTGATTACTTGTATGCGTTGTTCAACTGAGCATCGCTCCATGACTAAGTTTGACAAAGCCTGTCTTAAACTTTCGATGTGCAAAATATATTTTCTATCAACAACGATTATTGCAAATTATTCGCACTCAATTTATTAAAAATTTAATTATCCACAAATATACAGCTTGCTGTGGTAGTTAAATTGAAAATAATAAATTTTTTAGCATACATTTTTCCAACCTTTGTTTTATTTTTTATTATTATTTTTTGTTACCCATCGAGTAGCACTTAATCAAATTTCTAACCAAATCCATTGTTTGCAAACCGAAATTTCATTTGCCTTCAGTTGCCTTCAAACTCTTGCTGCTAAAAAATCACCTTGCAATAGCGCACATTTGGAGTGTTCATATTTTCACTCTACTCAACACTCTCTATAAAAAATATAAACAGAGAGCTTGAAGCTACATACATACATACATATGTATGTATGTGCCTTCCAACTACAGGATGGAACATCACTTGTTGCGGCAATAATTTAAGTTTTGCTTTTCACGTTGTTTCAATTTTAGTACAAATCTTTGTTTATGTTTAGTACCTAATACTTATAAAGCTTGCACTCCTGCATGAAAACTGGGAATGACTGGAATTCGGGAGAGGAATGTGTGATGTGATTGTGAAATTTGCAATCGTTCCGAAGTACAGCGCAAGTCTGGCAAATGGAACAGCGATGCCATGTGATATCAAACGAGCATATAATTATATGACAGAATGTGATATGATGATGTGATGCATAATGTTGTTGTGCGATGTGATGTCATGTGCTATGATGTGATGCAAAATATACATATTGTGCTACGCCGCACATACTTGGATTCAGACGATTTAGGCAGCCAAAAGTGATATTACTAAAAATAACATATATGTGGGGCGTTCCATACCAAAATGTGTTTGATTTGCTTCAATTTTTTAGGGTTGATGGATAAACATAAATAATAAATATGAAATTTGAGCTTATTAATACATTTCTGAAAACTTTGCAGCACAAACACAAAAACAAATCGTTTTAATAGCTTTCCAGATATCTCGAGAACAGGGCGAGAACAGAATTTGAAAAAAAAAAATCACACATACACACGTCAAAATTCTCTATGAAGAGAAATATTTTAAATATTTTTTTCTTGAAAAATTTTTCACATACAAATTTTTTTATAAAAGAAATAGTTTTGAAAATATGTCATCTCAAAAAATATTAAAAAAATCACAATCGTAGCTCTGAGTATTGGCAATATTCAAGTATAGTATTATGGGGTGCACTCTACAATAATATGAGTTATGCATTTTTTTACACCGAAGTTGAGTAAAATGAGTACATACAAATTTAAAAAATTTTGAAATTTTTCAAAAATTTTTTTTGGAGTTTCCAGTTTTGTAGCCCACTAAATTTTAATATAGCAAAGTGCAAGTTTTAAGCTTACTTTTCTTTGAAAACGGTTTTCCGCATTTTCTTTCATAAGAAAAAAGTGCAAAAAGCCGCCAGCTTAAAAATATTAAAAATCAACGCAATTTTGCAGTAACTTAAAACTTGCCCTTTGTTGAACTAAAATTTAGTGAGCCACAAAACTGCATACTCAAAAAATTCTAAAAAAAATTTTTAACAATTTGTAAATTTGTTATGTACTCATTATACTTTGGTCCGATGTTTGTAAGTACCAGAACAAAAAGAGATAGACCCATTAAAATGTATACTTATATGATCAGAACGTCGAGCTGAGTTGATTTAGCCATGTCTGTCTGTCCGTCTGTCCCGTCTGTCTGTCTGTCAGTAAAACTTAAATGTGAATACATTAAAAAGATCGGGTAACTATAACCTATAGCCCCCATACAACTGATTGTTCAGATATGAGGTCTTTTATCATAACTCCTCCATTTATGCAGCTAGGAACATGAAATTTCGCACCATTTTCACTCGTTATTAACAGAATACTTAACAAGGATCGGATGACTACAACATATTATCTTCCATACATCTGATTGTTCAATATGGCATTTTACTGTAAACTCCTTTATTTGAACAGCTAAAACCGATAAATTTCGTAAGATATTTTATAAATAATAATACAAAGTCTACTGAGAAAATCGTCAAAATCTATGCTGTATAAGCTTTATCTCCTATAGCACTGATTGTTCAGATACCAGTTTTTGCCATATATCTCCCAATAAATTGTGTTACGGTGTACATACCGATCACATAGCAGCGAAAATCACTTAGATTGGTGCCATAGAAAGTATATATTCCATCCTCTGATTGTTTAGACGCGATTTTTTATATAAGTATGTAACTCCTCTATCGATGTATGCAGATGTATTCAAAAGCAGTAATCTGTCAAAGTAAAACTTGCAGATGTTCATGAAAGGTATGAAGCCTTCGGCATAGCCGAAGACAGCGCTGCTCCTACTTGTTTTACTCAAATTCGGTGTAAAAAAACTTCGTAACTCAAATTATTGTAGAGTGCTCCACATAATACTATACTTAAATATTGCGCATTGTCTTTTTTTAATTTGTTTTAGATTGCATATTTTCAAAAACTATTTTTTTTAATCAAAAAATTTGTATGTGAAAAATTTTTCAAGTAAATATAAATTTAAAAATATTTAATTTCATAGAGAATTTTAATGTGTGTATGTGTGATTTTTTTAATTTTTTCTCGCCCCGCTCTCGAGATATTTGGAAAAATATTAAATCGATTTATTTCGCTTTGTGCTGTGGAGTTTTTAAAAATGCTTTAATCAAGCTCAAATTTCATATTTATTTATTATTTATGTTTATGCAACAACCCTGAAAGTTTGAAACAAATC